TTTTTAAATACCCTGACAATGTACAAGTAAGGTCCCCCCTCACCCAGTACTATTTAGAAAATACTCAAGGGGCAACTAAGACTCTGAATTCATTTCTTGGCATCCATTTACTGACTAGGCAGGGCTCGAAATCAGGCAAGAACTCAAAGAAAATCTAAATCACACAAGATGTCTGTGGTACTCCCTAGAAAGTGGCAGGGGGCAGGTTGAAGATGCACTGCAAGCAGTATCACGTGCAGGTTATTTCGCTGCCCACGCCATGGGTAGCTTGCTCTGGCTGACACTTTCGTCTATTGGGACATCTGCCCAAATCTGAATCTTCTGACAAAAGCCTTACTCTTGAGTAGCTCGTGCCCTGTTCTTAAAAATTGTAACTGCATTTAAAAAGTCCCAACCTTGTTTTTATTTTTTTTAACCTGGTCAGTGTTCACAGTTGTGTGCTAAACTCTGAAAAACTGTCTGTGCTGTGGTATATGAACATTGCCAATTTTATATTTATTGCAGTGAAGAAGAAACTAAAACTACATGAAAGGAGAAGCATGTTCAGGCTTGCGAATACATGTGTTGCACGTAGGAGCAGTGGTTGGGGCCTCTTGGAAGGAGGCTTTTTGGAGAAGGGCCCCAGACTTCCCCATGCTTTTCCCCTCCGTAATCACTGCTGCTGGCTGACTGACCTCTCCACGAGGAGCTGTGACTGTGCTTTGGCAACGTTTCCTTGACTAGTAGAATTCATTCTGTTTAGTGCATATTTCAATATAAGTGTCAACATTTCTCTCAATAAAAGATCTATATCACAGAAGATCTAGATCACATGAGTTACAGATGTGGGTGTCCATTATCAATTTTAAAAACTGAAAAAAATTATGCTTAAATTAGTAGATGTGCTAAATAATTTATGAACTACTCATAAAATGAAATATATGTTCCCATTAAAATACAGAATTAGAAAATTATATTGAATTTTATGTTTTCCATAATTATTTTATATATTTCTATCCCTTTGAAAAGTCACATGGAATAGGAAACCCTGGAAGCTAGGATCAAGTATCACTCCTGAGATCTCGGGCATGCAACATAATCCCCTGTATGTCACTTGCCTTATCCATAAGACGTGGATGAGCTCAAGTCACATCTATTAGAGCTATTGTGAAGATGGATTATAACATTTACAGCAGTCCTTGGAACCCAGAAGGATAGCTGGAACTGTTAATTCTTATTCTGTGTAACCAAAATTATGATGTGTGAACCAAATTAGCTTTATATCAGTCATTCTTCTTCTAAGTGTTCCCTGTGTCTTGCCTGTACTCAAGTACTCATTCTCCCAGCTCACTCATTATTGCTCTGCTTCCTTCAACTGACATACAATGTCTTGGCTGCTGATGACCCTTGAAGAACAAATTTTTGCTGGAGATGGGGGCCTTCAAATGGCTGGCCAGCAGGGTAACAACGCTGCTATGGACCAGATTACTGTATGCTTTCTGTTCTGTCCTTTTTAAATGTGTTTTGTTGTTGCTGCTGCAGTTACTCTATTTTTTCTGTTATGTATTAGACAGGTGAAGAGCTGGTAAGTTTTCTTCTTAGTTCATGAACTAAGTGTCACCTCAGCCTTGACACAGACTCCCAGACCCTGACAGGAAACTCCTTTGCCCCTTTGGCATTAGGCATGGCTAGTTTGTGTGGAACATGAGCAAAAGTGACAAGTCCCTTCAGAGTAGAAGCTTTAATGTTTCACCCTGTGATTCACCACTTTCTCCATCCTCTCCCTGCTTACTAATGGAGTATAAGTCAATATTTTCCTCCTTTGGCCTGGGTCCCAGAGTGATTATAATACCCTCAATAATGAGCAGAGCTCTCCACAGGCCAAAATGAATGTATAGTTTAAAGAAAAAAATAACTTTTGTTGTGGTAATGCACTAAAACAGTGAGACTGTTTCCTCAGATCACCTAGCCAGTGCCATTTATAGAAAATGATGAGCACCACAGGGACTCCTGGGCAGTAACCTGCTCTCCCTTTTCTTACTCTCTACAAAAGGCAAGATGAAACTTTTCTTTTAGACTCACAATGCTGACAATGTAAGAATAATCAGGAAAGTTTGGGCACAGTGGCTCACACCTGTAACCCCAGCTACCCCAGAGGCAGAGATCAAGAGAATCACAATTTGAGGGCAGATTAGGCAAAAAAAACTAACAAGACCTCATCTCAACCAACAAAAACTGGGTGCAGATGTATGCACCTGTCATCCCAGCTATAGGGAAACCTTAAGCAGTAGGACCATGGCACAGGCTGGCCCAACATAATAACCTTCCTAAAACATAACTAAAACAGAAAGGGTTCTAAGAGGTACAGTGCCTGCCTAGGAAGCATGAGGCCCTGAGTTCAAATGCCAGCACCATTCCAAAAAAAAAAAAAGACCACCACAAAGGCTGTGGAGCCAATCTGTCTGCCTGATTATCTGACTGCCCTGAATCTAACAATTTACTAAACCTGTGTAAAAGGAAGATAATGGCATTTGCTTGTTTCCATCATTACTGTGCCTATAAGAAACCACCCCAAAACCTAATGGCACAAAGGACCACTTATGCCAAGAGATTTGCGAATAAGGACCGTGGACAGAGCACAAAGATGACTATCACTGCTTCCCAAACCTGGGGCCTTGGGAGGAAGATTCAGAAACTAGGTGATGGAATCTTGTAGAAGCTCACTCACTTACTCACAAGCCTGCTGTTGGCCACAGTTGTCTGAGGCCTCCACTGGAGCTGTTGGCCCAAACTCTTACATATTGCTTTGCCACATGGCCTGGGCTTCTTTACTACACACAGAAGCCAAATCACTAAATGTGACCTGGTGTCAGAAGTCACACATCCTCACTTGCTCTGCATAGTGCTAGTTGACACAATCACATCAAAGGTAGAGGAAGCAGATACTTCTTCAGGGGAGCGGCAAGGCTTGGGAAGAGTGCATGGGATCCAGAATGCTGCTGTGGCCACTTGTAGGATATAAAATCTGCCACACTTGCAGTTAAGGCTGGAAGAGTTAACACAGTAAGGTAACCTAGCAGTGTTGACAAGTTATTGAGGCATTGGTAATGCTTTATCCACTGCACGTGTTCCAGAGCCATGTGTAGTTGCTCCCTGCCCAGCTTCCATTGTGCTTCCTCAGAGCCTGCTCTTTCCTTTCATGGGGACCTGCTCCAAGGACCCTTGATCACAGATGCAAGACCAATCTAAGTCAACCCCAGAACGGAGGAATTAAGGAGTACACTATGACTCCATGGCCATGGCCAGATAGTCACAACGGTCTGACACAAGTAAATTTCCCATGAAGACTGGGGTGTAATCCTTCTGAGACAGACTCTGGGTTAGCTCCCTTTTTTCCATTTTCCTTGTAAAGGCTTAAAACTTTGAGGTCTTATGTTAACCAAGACATTTCTTCCAATCTTCTATTAAAGTTGCAAAAGAAAACCCTAACTTTATACTATGTGCCAAGAACCTTATGTTGTCTTACATATAGTTTGAAGTTACCACCATTATAATAGACCTGTTTCGTCAGTTTGGATATGAAGTATCTCCCACAAGGCTCATGTGTTGAAGGCTGGGCTGCAGATGGTGGATCTAACCATCGAGAGATGATTACATCATGAGGACTCTGACTTAATCCATTGTTTTAATCCATTGATGGGATTCATAATTTGATGGCAGTATTAGGAAGTGGTAGAAACTTTGGGAGGTGGGGCCTGATGGAAAGAAGTAGGTTACTGGGGGGCATGTTGCCAGGGGTTGCATCTTGTCCCTGACCCCTTCCTCATCCTCAGTTCTCTTGTCCTCCCTCTCTGCTTCCCAGCAGACAGACAAGGCTCCACCATGCCCTTCTATCATTATGATGTTCTGCCTCACCATTGGCTCAGAATTGATGGAGCCACCCAACCAAGAATGATAACTCTGAAATCCGAGCCAAAATAACTCTTCCCTCCTTTAAGCTGTTTTTCTTGGGTATTTTTCACAGTGACAAATAGCTGTTGAAGACAAAGTTACTATAAAATAGGTTTAACTACCTCTACTACCAAACTTCTGAGTGTTCTCTGAATATCCCACATCTCAGTCACAAACAGTGAAAAATTTGAAGCCTAACCCCTTAAAAACCGGCAGTTTGTGCTTTATGCCACATCTTATAATGTACCGTGTTTGATTATCAACCAAGTTCCTCAAGTTTCCAAAGCATTCTCAATGTCACCTAGCTTGATTGGGTGAGGACTTCTTTACCAAGAAATATGTATAGTACTAACTCATGCTGGGTTTAAGCAATTCAAACACAAATACAAGATAATCATTTTATCTTTATTATTTATATTCATTTTTACTCTTATCAGAAATGCTCTACTTGGGTTGTTCCCCTTGAACAAGGTCAACAACCTATGGCCTACCACCTATTTTTATAAATAAAGTTTTATAGAACACAGCTGTGCTAATTATTTACATACTGTCCACATAACTGCTTTTATACTATAATAGCAAAGTTGAACACTTCCAACAGAGATCTGCAAAGACTAGCATATTTACTGTTTAATCCTTTATTAAAAACGTCTGACCCCAGCTCTAGAACAACACTCTCCAGAAAGGACACTTCCTCAACATAAAAAAAAAAAGAATAATTTCCTTATAAAATAGAACTGTCATAAATAGCTACAAAGGATTCAAGTCCCTAGAGTTTGTATAAGCAGCTGTTAGGAATGCTGGCAAAACTAAGACAAGCAAGTAACAAGTGGACCACAATATGATGAAGCAACACCTGGAAGGAGGCCACATGTGCATGTTACCCAAATATCTTCCAAAGCAGCTTTGCTAGGGGAGTGCTGTAAGTTCTCAAACATATCAGAATGTTCGCCTGGGCTTAGCTCACTGTCCTTCTTACAGTGGTATACAGCATAAGCCACTTAATTTCTAGTTTCCCACAATGATGAGACTGTATTGATATTCACAACTATCAATTAGCAAAACCTATTAGATGTAAGATCTTTATTTTTTTCATGCCCCAAGTAAGCCTGAGTGGTTGATTCATATTGTTCCCTTATCTGTCCCAAAGGCCCTGAAGTCACAACCAGAAGAAAGATTTCCTTTTACAAAGCTTTGAGAGCATCTAAGCTTTGGTATCTGACTTGTAATGGGTCAGAGTGCGAGCAGAAGGGTCAGTGGCATTAATCCACTTGGGCATCCAGTAATGGGTCAACCAGTCAGCCCGGCCTGGGTAGTGGCGTTCAAAGATCTGACGGTAATAATAGCCTTCTTTAGTTTTTGGAGTATTGAAGGGAAACTTTTGGGCTGCCGTTGCCATCACTGCATCATCAACCTATAAGAGTGTAAGAGCAAAACAGATTTTTACTTATATTTGATCTAATATCACAAAAAAACAAATTAAAATTGGAAAAGACATGACTGAATTGTACAAGACCCTATTAATTACCATCACTTAGAAAATGCTAAAATATTTATAATATGCATAACTGCAGTAACTTAAAAAACAAAGCACTCATATGCATATTTTTGAAACTTGGGGGCTGAGTGTTTTATTCATTTTTGCCTAAGAATGTCTGACACCCAGAAGATACCCAAAAATGTGCTAAATGGTCAGCAACAATTATTAAACTGCACTCTTTCTCTTGATTCTAGATACTACTTATAATCCTTTGTGCAACTTAAATCTTACATAATTGTTATAAAAGAGGGACTACTTATAGAGACTGTGGGTTTCTCCCATACACACAAAGCATCCAAATTAAATACAATTTAATTTAGGTGTAGCTCTACACCTAAATTGTCCTATTCCAGAAATGTTTATAAAGAGACTATACCTGATGTTCAACATATTCCTGTAAAATCTTGAACCAGGAGTTCTTGACTGAGGTTATTCCATCACTGAAGGCTTCTTTTGGTCGCCAAAGAATCTCTTTAGGTAGCAGGTTGGAGTCCTCAAACGTCTCTCTCAGAAGATGTTTTTCTACTCCGTTCTGACAAGAACACAAAAAAGCATCAGTAAAAGTCACAAAGGTTACCTACAGCAACAGGCACTTTTCATCTAGAGTCGATTTACTTACTTTTGGAATTCTCATTTCTGGTGGCAAAGACAAGTAATAGGAAGAAAATCGGTGATCCAGAAATGGGACTCTCAGTTCAAGGCTTAAAGGAAAAAGAACATCTATATAAATATGGTTACTTAGCACCTGTCAGGTCAGAAGGCAGGACAGAGTTTCCTAGCAATTCAACCAGATTGAGTAATGTAAATATTACACTCATTTACCACCCTCTTAATGGCTGCCATAGGCTAAGAGATGCATATAAAAATCTTCATTCAAAATAAATACATCAGCTAGGGTGTAAAAATACCTGTTGGAAAATATTACTTTCCTTTCCTGGCTATGAAATGTTAAATGTGTTCCTCCCCCAACTCCTAGACAGAAAAGTTATGATTCATAAGTGACCTGGTCATTGCCTGGAGTTTTTGACTGACTGTTTTCTCAGTGAGATTATCTCATCTGTTATTAGCAATTGTAATGACAATTCAGTACTTTCTACCACTAACTAGTTAACAAATCACATACAATATGCAAAATCAATGACTGTTCCAAGATCAGGGCTATATAACCTGTGCTCTGAATCCTAGTGATTGGTTAGGTCAAGAAGACAGGGTAATAAGCATGGATCCAGCCCATCCCCACCCCCTTTCTTTAATTATTTCCTAAACTAAGTGTGATTCAGCAGAAGAAACTAAAACACTTAAAGTGTATTGGTTAGCACATACAGTAAAAGGGTCTTCAAGTCTGCAACATGCTCAGTTAAAACACAAAAACTTACCCAAGGGGAAATAACACAAAAGAAACTTGGTTTTCTGTAACCCCATCAAACCTCTTGCACCTTCACTCCATGTCCCCTCAGGGTCACTGCAGCATCGAGGCAACATGGCACTCACACAATACTTGTTATGTGGAGTTCATTACTTTCACTTCTCTAAAAAGACTTAAAAATAGCAGCAGCGCCCTTCCCTCATGGTCTTTCAGATATGACAGAATGCTGTTACGCTTTCTTAAATGGCATGTATTCAACTGTACACAGTAGGGATGTCATCATGGTCTTTCCATAATGCATATTCGCCCCCTCTATCACTCTTTCTTATTTCAACAGCCCACAGAAGACTTCTCTCCATTACCATGGCAGCACTTACACCATAGCCCAATTCTTTGGAGCTAAAAGAAAAAAGTCATATATAGCCCAAAACAGCCACTGATCTCAGTTTCAAAGTTTTTTTGATTATTTTCTTTTCTCTACAATCACTTGAGAAAATATGGAGTTACCCATGGGCAGCAGTAGTTCGATCTGCGCGAAGAACATCAAACAAATAGAGTTCCTTCAGAAGCCTCTCACTCTCCTCCTCGGCCTTCTCAGGAGAAGGAGCCTATTTTACCAACAAAGACCTGATCAAAAGCTTTGCTTTCAGTACACAAAATAGCTTTTATTTCTCCCTCGTATATATATATTACAATGCTACAGGTGGGTAAGACAGAAGATGAACGAGGTTGGGGTGGAAGTAACTGACTGGACAGAAGCAGGCAAAGCTTTATAAAACCAACCTTCCCTCCTCAAAAACTGCAAGTGTGAGAACAAGTAAAATGGGCACACTGAGCAATGGCAATAAGTATACAGGACTAAGATATGGAAGACAATTCTCATGTTTAACTAAAAACTGGAAAGAATCTGATACTATTAAGACTTTCACCTTCCGGAAAGAAACACAAAGCAGATACTATCCAATTTCTTCACACATACAAACTTACAAGATACTCATAAATGTTACTGGCACATGGAAAGGAAAAAAAATAGTGGAATAATTCAGACTTTTCTTAGTCTAGCACAAACATCCCTTCACTTCAGAGTACTCACCTTATGAAAATATATGTAGCCCTGTGTGAGTTCATCTGACCCTTCTCCAGAGAAGATCACCACACTATCCGTGTTCTTCCGAATATACTTGGAAATTAAATACATACCTTAAATATGAGAGAAATTCATGTTAATATCAATATAACCCTCCTCCAAAAATGTCTGCTACTTGGTTTTCACAAACAACTTCAAGCTTTCCTACCATGGTGGGCTTTGTATTAATATAGTTTCCAAAATAATGACCTTAATATTTACAAGCCATATGTATATTCTTAATCCAAAAGTTATACTATTGCAATAAAATAGCCCAGAAAACATTCTACAATTTTATAAACAGGTTTCAAAATTCTAATGTTTTTAGACTCAAGAATGCCCAGCTTGTAATTTTGCTAAATAGAACAATGACTTGAATATCTAAAAATCATTCCTCGCACACTGGTATTACTACACAAAAATAAGGGTTTTAAACAGTGCTATGGTTTGGATGTGGTTTGTCTCCCAAGGGTTCACGTGTTGGTGCTTGGTTCAGTGTGGTGATAGGTGCTGGGACCTGTAAGAGATGGAGCCTAGCAAGAGGTAGTTGAATTTTGGGGACCTCTGCCCTTAGAAGACATTAAGGTAGTTTTCTCCTGGAACTCCAGCTAGTACTCATGAATTGTTTTAAAACAGCCTCTTTCTATTCTCTGGCTTCCAGTCTGCTACATGATCTCTCCCTCTTTTGGTGCTCTCTTTGATGCACTCCATCATCAAGTGATATGGTCAGGTCAGGGGAGGCCCTCACCAAAGTGCCCTGTAAACTGTGAGCTAAACGAATCTCATTCTTATAACTTACCAGCCTTAAGTATTTCATTATAATAACAGAAAATGGACTAGTTGTTTGGTTTGTTTTTTGTGTTTTTTCCCCTCCTGCTACTCTGCATTTATCAAATTTCACATTTAGGTGAAGAGGGTATAAAATTATGAAAGCATTCTTGTTTATCATCACCCCTAAAGCAGAGCCCTTTCACACGTTCTTTTCTAATTCTGCCCTACTCCATGAAATTTCAGTAACAAATATACTGTATACATGCTTATTCACTATGATGATTTGGAGGGCCAAAACCAAGGGTTTTTTTGTTTGTTTTTGTACTCCAAGCAAATGTCTTTAAAACGAGGTATACCTAAGTCAGTAGCATTTTGGAGGCTCAACAACATTGGATTCATCTGATTTGGGGTATACTTATAATCTCAGTATGCATCCATCAGATAAAACTAGTATTGTTTGCAGGGCAATAACAGCAAGTGATTAATAAATACATCTAAAATAAGTTCTCCTTAAGGAAATGAATTACAACATAGACTTACAGACCACAGACTTCCTTCAGTATCCATTGGGGATTGGTTCCAGGACCCTCCTTCAGAACTCCCACAGAATGAGATAGCATTTGCATATAACCTATACTACACATACTGTCTCATATACAGGCATATCTCCTTTATTGTGCTCTGCTTTATTGTATTTCAGATAATTTGTTTTTTACAAATTTAAAGTTTGTGCTAATCTTGCATCAAGCATGTATATCATCATTTTCCAAAAACTTAGCTAATAATCAACATTTTTAGACAATAAAGATTTTTGTGTTGTTTTGTTTTTTGTGATGCTATGGTTTGAACTCAGGGCCTCATGCTTGACATGCACTCTATTGCTTGAGTCACATGCCAGCCCTTTTTTGATTTTAGTTATTTTTCAGATAAGTTCTCATGTTTTTGGGCTGCAATTCTTCCTATGCCTCCCACATGCATTACAAATGCATGCCACCATACCCAGCTTGTTTGTTGCAATGGGATCCCACTAATAAAGTATTTTTTAATTAAAGTGTACATTATGTTTATTAGACATAATGCCATTACACACTTAGTAGACCACAGTATAGAGAAAACATAAGTTATATGCACTGGGGAAAAAAAAACTTCATAACTTACTTTAACAATAGTTATCTTGTTGCAGAATTTATAAGATCTCTGAAGGATGCCTGTACTTTAAATCATCTCTAGATTATTTATAATATCTAATACAATGTAAGTGCTGTGTTGTGACATCACAAAATACCTTACCTACTGATGCTCGAACTGTTGTAATGTCATAAGTTTCCAAGGAAAATATGACTTCATCCAGGGCCTGAATGCCTTCCTCAGAGTTAAAGAGGACTTCATGATGTTCACTTCCAATATGGTTTGCCACCTAATTATATATATAAAAAAAAAACAACACATACTTGTTATTTAAAGAAAAGAACTACTCTTGAAAATGAACCGAAGGTATTACAAATTGACAACAGTGAAAAGTAAACAAGGCAAGACAATAGGAAATGACTCCCCAGGCACCACATAGAAGCCTAGCCAGGGCCCTTGCGGCTCCTCACTCTGCCCCTCTCAACCACAAGACGTAAATCTTCCATCAACTCTTCCCATTCCAATGCTGCAACCCAACAGTCAAAAACATCCAACTAGGGCCCCACCGTCCCCATCCATCTTACCCACCACCTCATCTCTCTCCAGCCCAATGTGCTCCCACTCTAAATTTAGTCTCTGCCTCCTTTGGCCCTCCTGAAGTGCCTAATTTTATATCCAGCTTGTTATTCCTACATGGAATGGCCCTTCTCCTCTCTTAAATTTTTTTTGACTATTTTGGATTTTCCCAGCATCCATCAACTTGCATTGGGACTGCTCTCTAGTCCATTCTAAGTTCTTCCAAGCAGAACCAGGTCTCTTCTACACTGAATATGTACAAGTTTTGTTCAATCTATAATTCTAAACACATGCTTTATAGAACCAAAACTGTTAACAGTACACATTTACAAAGTACTCACTACATGGTAGATTCTATCCTGCATACTTCATATGAATTATCTATTTTTACTTCCGAACTATCTCATCAGAGACACTATTACTCCCATTACGTAAATGAAGGTTTATGAGATACAGCCAAGATTTGAAACCAGGAGTCTGGCTCCAAAGCTTGCAGTCTTAACACTGTTCCATGCCTTTACTTTCAGAAGGACAGAATTATTATCATAGGGTCTTTTTTGTGAGGATTGTATAGACCATGGTAGATTAAAGTACCCAGGGTACAATGTACAACACAATAGATATTTAACACATATATTTCATTCAATTTAAGACAATTACCAGAGTCAATATAGCAGCAGAAATGGATCATCAATTATTAACTTGATTTTCATTCTAATAACAAGTCTGTTCTAATTACTTAATGGGCAAAGAAAGAGAGCACCTTACCTTTCTAGCAGCGAGTAAATCGGGGCTGTCTTCCATGCCAATGGCAAAGGTCTGAAAAGGATATTGTACTTGGGCCTCTTTCAGTTGCTTCAACAAGGTGGCAGCAACCAAGCTGGAGTCCAAGCCCCCTACAAGGAAGGGAACAAGGATTCTTATACTGGTTATGTGCCTTTATTAAACAGAGACAGACATAATTTACATACTGTTAAGTACTGGAATTATAGTTTTACCATTTTAGAGCCTTAAGATCTGTAAATTGAAATCAACTCTAATAAGAAAAAAATACACAGACCCTGTCTATTTACAGACACTGTAATAATGCTAACTGTTTAAATTGGTTTAAAAATCAGTACACATCAAACCCCAGTACTGTCAAAAAAAAAAAAAAAATCACACAGGATTCTGAAGAATGTGGTATAACTAACTAGTTCTTACACTAAGAATCCAGCTAGCATAATTGTAAGTTGCAGTGCTACTGTGACTATTAAATATGACTTTTACATTCTCTAATAAAACAGATATTAAATTACATAGCAAATATTTTTCACAGTCAAAAACTTTAGGGATAGCTGCATATCTTTTCACTTAAACACATACTAAATATTACTAGGGCTTTTTTTTAATTGACTCCACCTGATAAAAGGCAGCCGATCCTTCTGTCTGTCATCAAACGCTTCTTAACAGCATTGTCAAAAAGGATACGCAGGTTGTTTTTCACAGTTTCTATCTCAAAACCTATAAACACAGAGCAAATGAAAAGGCTCCAGAAAAGCAGAGACCAAATTAGCTACTGAAATGTGGTACACAGTCATGCACATCATCACCACGACCATCTCGCAAGGGCAGAGTCTGCCGAATCAAACAGGATGCAAGAATGACTTGATTCCTTTGGTGGGAAGGAGTGGGAGTAGGTGGGTGGGCACTTGTTACCTGGGAAGAGTTTCTCCACGCTGTCATAGAGGGCATGCAATGGTTCATCGCGACAGTGATGATATTTAACCATTTCCACAGATGCAACTTTGCCATTTGGCTTTAAATCCAAAACTTCATAGTGTCCCGGAAGAAAAGGCTCTACTTTTAAAAAGGGTGTTGTGGAGTGCTTCAGTGAAACAAGACCTACAAATTCAAAAAAACTTCTTCAAATAAGGTAACACTTCACAGTAACTTTTATGACTAGTTAGTTATCTTCTAAACTCCTGTCTTCCCTTCTAATACAAATTCATTATATAAGTAAAATGTGAGGGAAAATTAATCTACTGGAGAGATTCACAGCACAATTGCACTGATTTGCTGCAATTCAAAACAAAAGGAAAATGGCCTTTGACCCATTTTGAGATGATTGTGTGATATGAGGCAAAGGTCCAAAACATCATTTTTTTGCATGGAGTCTGAAGATACTATTCTTTTCACTACTGAACAATCTTGTTCAATTCCTTCCTCCATCTGAAATTTCTGATCAAGAAAATCTATTTTCTGTAATAAAGCAAATACAAAAAGGAAAGACATCTGTGAAGAAAAGAGATGATCGTAAGTCTATTAATTTTATGATATCCTGGGAGTCATTTCTTCATCATCACTGAAGTATTCTAATAGCCATGGTTCCCAATCCTTTAATAAGCAAAATGATCCCACTGTTAGGTACTATTAGGTACTTCAAACTCCTTTAGTTATACACCTAACTAATTCTGTGTGAATGTATGAATAATTTTCTCAGGAAATTTAGGCAATAAGCAACCTAACATCACTATGATCTTTGACACAAAAGTCAATGTTTTATTGCAAATAATAACAGCCTATCTATACAGAATACTAATTATGATTTACTGCTTGAGTTTATTAACCCAGTAATTTGTGTAGCATAATATTCAAAGACCAAAGAACACAGATGTTCTCATTAGCTAGCAGAGCTCAAGTATACACCTCTATAGAGGCTAGAGAGTGACTTAAAGGTTTTAAACAGAGCATCATGATCAAATAAAAGGAAAACCATACTGTATATGAGATCATTTGGTTTGGAAAAGGGCAGAGTTAAGGGTATAGATACGAACAGTCATGCAATTTCAGAGAGTAAATTATAGGTGAGATTATAGTTACATGTCAAGTGACCATTGGGTTCAAAAGAGACCAAGTGGAAGTAGGAGACTACTTTTTGTTTGTATTCTCTTTGCCAGACTTCTCTAATGGAACTTTAGGTAACTGACATGTAATACTTGCTCTTTGCTGACTGATCATACTAAAAATGTCTGAAAACAGACCAAGTGACGTTATCTATTAATACCCATACCGTGACTAGTGCTCTAGAATGCTTTGACTTGATCTCATTAACCATGCTCAGCCAGTATTAAATATGAAAACTAAGTGAGAAAGGATTTAAGGAATGGCAAAAAGACCACATTCCAGGGTATTATTGCTCTCTAGATAAGTGATAAAAGATGACTGTGTGCACAGTAATGGCCAAAAGGCAACTTTCAGTGAAAGTAGCCCACTTTGACTAGATTAGACCAGAACTTGTTTTTCACTTGGAACCAGGTATAGAAGGAAAAGTTTATTGTCAAAAACTGCTAAGTATGTGTGTTAGTCAGCTTTCTGTTGCTGTGACAAAATACCTGAGACAAAGAACTTAAAGGGAGGAAATGTTTACATTTTGGCTCCAACTTGGAAAGTGTTCAGTCCATGGTAGCTTGGCCCTATTGCTTTTGGGCCTATGGCAAGGTAGTACATCAGGGCAGAAGCATATGGTGGAGAAAACCTGTTCACCTTATGGCAGCCAGGAAGCAAAGAGAGCAAGAGGAAGGGGCCAGGGTCCCAATGTCCCCTTCAAGGTCAGAGGATCCAAGACTTCCTTAGTCACTTGTAAAATTTTGGATTGTCCCCTATGGGATTTTCAAATATGATCTAGAAGAAAACACAAAACCAAGACAATAATGAAAACTCATAGGAAAATTCTATCATTACCTTTAGCTTCTGAACACACAGCCAGAAATCCATCTTCTGTTAAAGCTTTAAACAAAGGTCTGACTCCATAGGTATCTCTGCCCAGGAACACTTTCTTATTAGCAGTGTCCAGTAAAATAAATGCAAACACCCCATCCAACATACAAATTGTTTGCTCAATTCCTCCTTTGTCATACAGATGAAGGATTATCTCACCATCCACTTTGGTCTGGTATTCAAACTCAAAACGTTGTTGCATCTTAAGGAAGGAGAACAAAACAAAACTGTTAGGATTCTGTACATTCACTAATAATTTATGGCAAAGTTGATTCAATATTTTTATGTTCTAAAATCATTTCATATTCTGGTGATTTGGAAGAATCATGGAATTATTAAATTATAGCCTGTTTTAACTCACGATTCTGCCGATTCCTTACAATTTAAAGCTGAGACTGTGACAATTTTAGTTGCATTCTGATTAACAGGTTGCAGTAGCAATATACCAGAACAGTAAGGCATGGAGGGATAGGAATGAACATTCTATCCATAATACAACATATATATATATATATATATATATATATATATACAGTCATTCCTTACTCCATGAGGGATTGGTTCCAGGATGCCCCATGGACAACAAAATGTGCAGGTACTCAAATTCCTTACATATAGTATTTACATAAAACCTATACATATTCTCCTATATAGTTTAAATCATCTCTAGATTATTTATAATACTGATTAAATAGAAATGCTTTATAAATAGTTGTTAGGCATGTTGCCTAGGAAATAATGACAATAAAAAAAAAATCTGTAGACATAATTTTTTTCCAAATATTTTCCACAAGCATTTAGTTGAATCTGTGGATGTAGAACCCGGGCATATGGAGAGCTGACTGTATGTAAACTTAGAAAATAGTTTGCCCAGTTTCCATGATTCTAAAAATGTGTCTAGCAATTGTCAACTTTTAGTTTGGGAATTCAGTATCAGCTGAGGTTCTTCCAGTTCAGCCTCAAAGACCTACCTATGAAAATATAGAATGAAAGAGAAGTATATTTGACACTAATCTTTGGCAATAAATGATTCCATTCCATTAACAGAACATGGTCCAAACCAAGTGCTGGTCCCCAGGAGTGGACTATAATAACCAGTCTCTCCCCTACTGCAGTGACATTAAATCTCTTTACTGATATACAAAATGACAGTTAGGGCTTTATCATTCCACATGCCCCAAATAAACAGCAGAGAGACTATTAAGTGACCATATACAAAGTGAGAGGGCTTGATAAAGCTGCCCAAAATTCCAAGACTCTGCACTACCACTTTCAAACTGTTGAGGCTAAAAAGTCCTTATGTTTCTCTTTCTTTATATTTGTACTCACATTTTTGGAAATAGGAGAATCAAAATAAAATCAGTTACAATTCTTGAGTTTAACCATTAAAAATATATATTTACATTTCAAAAAGTAAATCCATGTATATGTATGACCTGCAAATACGCTCACACACTTTTGTCCAAAGCACTCACAGAACTACCCAAAAATGGGCTTTGGCTGCCTCTGCAGTGCCACCACCTAGTCACTCCTCCCTCTTCTGCGAGACTACCAGAGATGGTCCTTTTACTAACACTTCCTCTGACCTTTCTGAGCAAAAGCACCTAAGGAATAAATGACCCTAAAGCACCTTGTAATATTAACAAGCAACAGCCTCCCAAATCTACCTCCCCGACTTTCAACTCCTGCTGTTCGGCATAAACCTTGCAGTCAATTTATTCAAAGAGCAGAGGGGTCACACATGCGAATTCCTGATCTCATGAAGTTATACTCCAGTGCTACTGAAGCCCTCATGTCTTACCACTGCCCTGAAGCCCTGAAGTCATACTGCATTGAACTTGTTGCAGGCCCCTCTGTTTGCCCTCCCTCTACTCTCAGCACACCTCTGGCTGTACTTCAGTAGTATTAGTAAATTTTATTTTTATTAAAATTAAAAAAAAAAAAAAAAGCCAGGCACTGGTGACTCGTGGCTGTCTGTATTCCTAGCTACTTGGGATGTTGAGTTATGGAGGAATGCAGTTCCAGGACAGCCCAGACAAAAAAGTGTGAGACCCCATCTCAATGGCAAAAAGTTGGGCATGGAGGCAGGAATTGTAAAAATAGGATTGCTGTCCAGGCCAGCCTGGGCAAAAAGTGAGAAACCATCTCCAAAACAACCAGATCAAAAAGGGCTGAAGGCAAGGATCAAGCAGTAGAGTACCTGCTTTACAAGTGCAAAACCCTGAGTTCAAACCCTAATCCCACCAAAACAAAAAGGGGGAGTGGAGCTTTGGAGCTATGTTTCTGAAAATACTTTCTATAAGCCACAGAACTACCCAAAAATGGACTTTGCTGCCTCTGCAGTGCCACCACCTGGTCACTCCTCCCTCTTCTGAGAGACTACCAGAGATGGTCCTTTTACTAACATTTCCCCTGACCCTTCTGAGCTAAAGCACCTAAGGAATAAATGACCCTAAAGAACATTCTGTTCTTGACACAGGTTTCCAGTTGCCCAAATTGCATAAATTCGAATGCTTGGTGGAAGCAATGGAACTCCTTTGCAAATGTAACATTTGGCTAATTTAGAAATTAAATATTTTCAAAATATTTAGTTTCTGCAACTTTTTAACAAAACAAACAGCAACATCTTTCAAGTAAAACATTATTTCTTACCTCATTTAAGGGAAAAGCCAGGCTGATATTGCCATGGTTCAACCTAGCACTCTCCTGTATGTGATACAGGTTTGACTGGTATTCAAACTATTTCCTCTGCTATCTCCTACTACCGTGAAACTCCATTCTTACCTTTCCTGCTCATCTCCAAGCACATAGAAACGTGAGGCCTCACGTACAGGAGGCCCTGATAAATGTGTGCAACGAATGTGCTGGATAACTAAAAACTTTTCTAATGACAAGCCTATTTTTAGTTTTCTTAAAAGCAAACTGGCAAAAGCTACTTTCAGAAATTAACAATAGCCACAGAGTGGCTAGAATATAAGTCTATACCAATAAATGATAGGCACATATGAAGTCTCAAAAATTACCAAGAAATAGCACACTGAAGGCCTAAACTTTACTAAAAACTGCCTCAAAACAAAACAAACAAAAAAACACAAATTAAAAAAAATAGTTGAACATATTCTTGGGAATCATGAACTATATGGTACAAAGTATTATGGAGTATTAGATTTAATAATGGTGTTGATGTTAGAAAAACATCTTTATTCATTGTTGTTGTTTTAAGACAGGGTCTCACTATTTAACTCAGGCTGGCCTTGATCTCATGATCCTCCTACCTCAGTCTCCCTAGTGCTGAGAGTTCAGGTGTGTGGCACCAGACTTAGTTAAAAATGTCCTTCTTTTTGGGAGACATTCTTACATATTTAGAGGCAAATTTTCATAATATCTACAACATACTCTCTCTCAAATAATTCAGTCAAAAAAAGGAACATGTGCATGTGTGTCAAAAGAGAGAAAAGGCAAATATGGGCAAATATTAACAATCATTCAATCTTAATGCTCATATGCCTTCATTCCTTTCTGCATGTTTGAAATTTTTTCAAAAGTACAAGGTGAGGAGGGGGTTAACAAAAAACAACTTACAAATTAGAGATTAAAATTTTTTTCTTATGAAACATTAGTCAAATAATCCTGAATTTGAAGGCTCTCATCAAATTTGGCTTCCTAGAATAATAATTTCTATCTCCTCACCCACTTGCATCCTAAAAGTAAGCTTCATTGGATTAGAAAATTGCTCCAATTTTAATGCTGCTAAAAATCTTAATGCATTCCACTGCAACCCATCACTTTCTACCCTTTGGTTCTGATTAAGTGTACAATTGCAATAAGTAGCTCAGTGGCCACATTTATGAACATTTCCAAACTATTCACTTCCATCCTTCCCTTACAATCCTCAATCGCTGCTGCCCTTAGAAGAATACTCCAACTTCTGCCTATGGCTACTAAAACCTGCTGGTTGGTCCTTCCAACCCTACTTTCCCCACTCGCCCCTCACACACGCAGAGCTGCTTCCTCCCGAGTCCTTCGAGTCCTTCGACACTTGCCATTCCCCTCTGCATGAGATGTTCTTCCCATTCTTGCCAGGTATCTTTGTCATCAGGTCCCAGTTCAAGTGCCACTTCCTCAAAATCCCTTCTCTGACCACCCTTCCAGAAAGTGGATCTCCCATATTCACTGATTCTATATTTGTTCTTCCAGAAATCCTATTATATGAGCAATAATTGTTTTAGTCTGTTCCTAAAAAGAACCAGCTCCACTAGAGTGGAAAGCTAACCCTCTTCACCACTGTAACCACTCCCCCAACTTTAGGTTCTGCTTTACAGTCCTAATTAATATTGAAACTTGTAAAAAAAAAAATTCTAAGAATCAAAGAAACTGAATTATAATCCCCATTTTTATCACTTTTTGTAGAACCAAGTCCTTTCACCTCTATGTTCATCAATGCTCTATACAACTATGTGACCAGAGCAAAGATAAAGAACATGAGAAGTGTTTTTAAAAGTAAAAAAGCATTACACCTAAAAAACTAGCTAGCATTTGTTGCCCTTAACGCAGAGAAACTAAAGCAGATACCTTAAAGCAAATGAGGCCAATAGGAAAAGGGGACCAGGAACTAGAGAAAAGGTTAGATCAAAAAGAATTAACCTAGAAGGTAATACCCACACACAGGAAATCAATGTGAGTCATGCCCTGTATAGCTATCCTTATCTCAACCACAAACCCCTTGTTCTTCCTTTATTGCTTATACTCTCTCTACAACAAAATTAGAGATAAGGGCAAAATAGTTTTTGCTGGGTATTGAGGGGGGGAGCGGGAGGGGCGGAGTGGGGTGGTTAGGGAGGGGGGTGGGGCAGGGGAGAAATGACCAAGCCTTGTATGCACATATGAATAATAAAAGAAAAATGAAAAAAAAAATAAAAAAAAAAAAGCATTACAGAAAATATAAAATACTGTATTAACCAACTAGCTCTGAACATTAGTCTTATGCAGACATCTTCTGGTTTCATTTTGCTTACCGCTTTGTGGTTGTAGATTTCACCATTGTAACAGAGCCACAAATAAGGATATTTCTTCACTCGAATTGGCTGCATCCCAAACAGGGGGTCAACCACTGCCAACCGGTGAAATCCAAAGCAGCAGTTGGTATAACCATTGACATTCTCAAAACGAAATGCATCTGGACCCCGGTGTGCAATCTTCATAGCACTCAGACACTGCACAGAAAGGCAGTCATCGCTGCCAAAGAGCGCCCAAATGCCACACATGGTGCAACAGAGTTACAAACCCTTTCTGGAGAGAAAAGCAGACCACGTAGTCCACAATTAATCCTTGATTCCAGAAAGTTGCATAAACCACTTCAAAATTTAAAACCTACAACATGTTACAGTAATGTTCCTACTAGGTTGGCAGGCACATAGGAATAGAAAAAAATTTAAATTACTAGCAAGTACTCAAATAAGACACATTACCTTTACTCAGCACCCAGTCAAAGCTTGCATCTCTCCTGCTTTCAGGTTTGGTTTTCAGTTGGTAGTTGGCAGTATCCAGGCTGCATCATACATTTATTTGCTCCCAAGACAGATAAACATGCAGGCTGCCTCTAATCAGTGATCCCAGACCCAACTTTCTCCACCCCATAATCTCAAATACCCTCAGAATCGAGGAGATTCTCCAGATGAATACAGTCTCCACTTGGGTCTCCTTGTCAATTAAGTACATTCTCTTTACCTGTACTAACTGCAGGTAGACTATGGAGGAGGGTACAAGAGCAGATGATATATATTGCTAAGTGTATTATCAAGACAGACAGTTCCTGTAAGCATTTCACAACGTCTGCCTTACCTCTAAGTGATTTATTCAAATGTAATTGAAGAACTAGAAAAAGAAAGCAATATAATCTGTTATCAGATATCCTAACAAACAAAACATTTTGAGTTGAGAAAAGACACAAAATGTTCCCTACCAAAATGTCCTAAAGGACAAAAATGCTCTCAAGTATCTGTCTCAAAGCTGTATTGGTTAGTATGAAAGCAACGTACGTAGGCTTGATACATCAACATCCCTGAGAGAGTTAAAAAAGAAAAAAATTGGCACAGACATGTAAATAACCAGGAAGTAAATAATTCCAATTTCAGATTATCAACTGTAAAAGAAAAGCTTGTTCCTTTTAGATACTAACAGATCAAAACAGTTATTTTAACAAAATATCTCAAACTTGAAAAATTAACTACTTCTGTATTTGTTAAACATACAGATCTGTAGCAAATGCCCAGATAATATGAGACACATACTCTAAAGTAAAAACACATATTCACGTTACATCACTTTCAGCAATTCTTTGAGGATATTTCATTTGTATCAACAGGAACCAAAAGCTTTTTATTTTGCCAGATCAAAATAATGGTAAATGATATCAATTCAAGCAAATTGAAAATGAATTACCATATGTTTTTTGCAGTCCCTTCCTGCAGTTGGACAAACAGCTTACAATGGAATATTTACTTGAGATTTAGTGGGAAAATTCACTGAGATAAGTGAGGTGACTACTAATAAGCAATATACCTTTGACTCAAGGCCAATTAAAGGTGGGCTGGGAAAGGCTCTGAAAATCAAGTGTGATCATGGGGAATCATTTGCCTACATCTCCTTAATGTTGCTTAGAGGATTCCAGTATTAAGTCTGTTACACCAAACACACTAGCCACTGACATGCAGGGGAAAGGTTATAGCATGCTCTTCCTCCAGCAGGAAGAAGCAAATTAAAGCTATAATCTATTAATTTTATTGAAATCAGCCTTCGAAAAGGGCAAAGGCCCTACTTGTAATGCATTTTCCTTTCTGCTGTTGCCTGTTCCCAGGAATTTTCCATATTTCTCCTAAATTTCTACAGCCATGCTGTCCAATAGGAATGTGAGACGTCATTTTAAACACTAGTTAGTCCCATTAGAAAGGTAAAAAATAAAAATTAATTTTAAACATATTTTATGTAACACAATATATACCCCCAAATGGTATGATTTCAACAATGTAATCAATATTTAAAAATTACTGATGAAGCAGGGCTGCAGCTCAGTGGCAGGGCGTATGTAGGCGCGAGGCCCTGAATTTGATCCTCAGCACCGAAAGCAAACAACAAATAAAAAATTAAAATTAAGGATGAGATATTGTACATTGCTTTTTCTACTAAACCACCAAAATCTGGTGTGCTTTAAACCTATCAAACATCTCGATTCAGACTAAATACCACTTCAAGGGCTCAATACAGGCCATTCCATTTCAGCATTTAACTTCTACTTAGCACCTACCTAAACTTCATCTTATACCCTATTTTAAATTAAAAATGTCAGTACTAAACCCGTGGGCAGGTGCAAGACCTACTTTACTTCAACCAATGCAAAACAAGTTAAGTGCTACCAAATTACTAATCGGGCACTTGGCAATGGACAGTGAACAAACAATATAGGCCATGGGCCAAGACAAAACAAAACAAAAAACTGTCCCTTTATTTAAAATAGTAATGTTAATCTGAAGTCAGCCCTGTAGAACAGACATGCACTACGGAAAGGCATGCCAATTCTTTTGCCTTGTTCTGCTTTTAGCTGCCTGGCTCCCTGAACGGATGTCGTCTTGGCAAGGTTTGCTCAGCAAGGTATTAGAGGAGTCTTTCGGGGTGGGGAGGGGGCTGGGAGGAAAGGTGAGTGGAGGCGAGGAGAGAGGATCCAGCGAGACTGCCCATGCAGAGACCCTCCCTCCGGAGCTGGACCAAGCCATATCAGGGTCCCACAACACCCGACTGCGCGCAGACCACGTGCACGCTCCAGCTGGTCCGCAGCAGGGCCCCGGGGCTGCTGAAATGACACAGGCTTCCACCCGAGATAGTTTAAAAAAAAAAAAATCTTAACATTTACAGGAGCCACACTCAGGCCGCTGCCACCTTCTCTCCGGAGCGGCCCAGCCTCCCGGCCACGCTCCACTCAGACCCACAGGACCACAAGGGAGGTCCTTCCTCGCCACCTTGCTCCCAGGTGCGCAACAATCGCAGGGCACCGCCCCACCCTGGGCTCCGGGAGGAGCCGCAGCATCCGCCGGGCGCCCGGGACCCGCGCCTGCCCGGTACCAGGATGCAGCGCATCCTCCTCGCCTTCCCGGGGCGCACAGGGAGGGCGCTGAGCAAGGCGGCTGGCCTAGCTTACCTGGGCGCGAGCGGGTCGGGTCGGGCCGCCGGGCGGAGCCGAGGCCTGGGCTACAGAATGCAGGCGGGGCGGTGGCGCTGTTCCCACCTTATACCGCCGGCTCCTGTAATGCGTGCGGGAAATTTCATCATGTCGGCAAGGACCAACCAGCGCGCGCAGGGGCGTGGCCCGCGGTGCCGACGGGCCTACGTGGGGGCGGGACCGAGGGCGGGGCTGAGGGAGAGGGTTGGATGGACCGGAGGGATGGATGGAGAGGTGGCAAGCGAGGGAGACAGAAGGAGCTGCTCGGCTTCCAGTTCCTTGACATGTTAGTGAACCTGTTTAAAGGATAACTTCGAACGTTCTTCCACTTGCCTTATTGGCACCTAGGGCCACCTGACCTTCTCTTCTGGCAATCGAGGAGCTTTCCTATGTTTGATTTGTTCCTATGGAAACCATCACCAGTATTTGTAGAGTTCCCTCTGCAGTAGATCTCCTCCATGCCCTTAATTTTAAAGGTTTTCTCCTTTTTTAAGAGAGAGTCTGGTACATAAATGTGGATATGTAAGAGGTGCTCAACCTGCTTTTCCTGAAAAGCATTGACTCCTTGGGCCCAGGAATTAACTAATAGCAAGAGAAAAGCATGGCATCTCTCCTCCACTTTGTATCTGTCTTTGCTCCAAGCCATTCTCTTTGCAGCCACTTTGCAAAGTGACTGGATTCCAGGAAAGACATATAACATCTTTATGACAAGAGACTGAAACTTACTCCAACAGTAAACATTCCTCAGGATGGACCACCTGCCAGGCTCCAGATGACAACTCCTGAATCTCTCCCAAAACAAAGACTGAGATAATGACAACCAGACCACACCTGTGACTGACTTGTTTAGCTATGCATACGTTTTGTCCCCTGCCCCCAGTTCTTTTGTCTACTTAAACCTATAACTCATGTCTGTACCCCAAAGATGGCTGAAGATGAGCTGAGTGCTTACTCTGCCTCTTCCTGAGCTGTGTAATAAATCTTCATTCTCTGCCTTCACCACGCCTCTTTATTTGGCATTTAGGGGCAGGTGACCAGACCTTGCATTTGGAATCTCAGGAGTTTGGGCCTTGGGTCCAAAACTCTGGATAAACAAATATTTGCTAAAATAAATTAACCTAGATAGAAATAGCTGGAAGAGTGACCTCCTTTTAAATTAAATACAAGGTAGACTTTATTATGTTCTTCCACCTCCAGGCAAGAAGCATGTACTAAACACTTAGTATGTGACAAGGAAGCACAAAGACAATAGATGACTAAATTCTGAGGGTCCTCCACACCTGAGAATTCTCAGCATCTATAGACTTGGCTACACCAGGCACAGTGACTCATAGCTGTAATCCCAGCTACTCAGAAGGCAGAGATTGGGAGGATCAAGGTTCAAGGCCAGCCTAGGCAAAAAAAGTTAGCAAGATCCCCATATCAACCAACAAGCCAGGCGTCCTGGTGCACATCTATCATCCCAGCTACACAGGCCAATCCAGGAAAAATGTGAGACCCAATCCAAAACTTAAAACAAAAAAGGGATGAGAGTGTGGCTCAAATAGTAAATACCTGCTTAACAAGTGTGTAGGCCATGAGTTTTATATATCTATCTATAGATAGATAGATAGATAGATAGATATCTTTTAAACCTGAGAGCAATGTGGGAAAGTAGTCTTCTATCAGTAGCCAACAATTCAAATTTGTTCAGCCCTGAGATTTATTAAAATGAAGTCTTTCAGTTTCTTTCATGTACCAGTCAAATCATTTCTTCTTAATAGCTCTTTTAAGGTGAATCCATTCTCTTAAAAAAAAAATGGGGAGGAGGCAGTTGTTGGGGCTTGAACTCAGAGCCTCATACTTTCTAGGCAAGCACTCTACCACTTGAGCCATGCCCCATTCCAATTTTCTAAGATGTTAAAAAATGTATAGTAATTAATCAGAAAACCACCTAGTGATAGAAAGCTAGCCTTTGGTATCCATTAGCTAAAAAACATATATAATAATGAAAAGCTTCATTGAAATTAATAATATCTTAAAGTTATATTTTATTCGACCTGAACTACCTTTATAAAATTAGCATATGCTGATGAATGACAGGAACC